AATACCATATAAATGTAATATTCCTATCCTGCGGATAAACCCTTACTCTATCACTTCGTAGAGTTGTCCACTACATGATATTTAACCAGTGACCAGGGATAAACAGATGCAAAAGTCCATCAGAGGCTGGTGTATCAAAGTCCCAAGCCATGGTTGATTAGTTGCAGTGTCTCAAAGGGGCCTGCAGATGCTCCACTACCTGTAATTGTCAAAAAAAAAAAAAACATGATATTTAGCCAGTGGGAACCTTGTTTTTCCAGGGGTGAAGCAACAAAAATATAGCTAAACTTTCACCTTCTAAGATTGCAATTTTTGATTTTCCAATGTGGCAGGTTTCTGAACAAAGCCCTGCTTGACCTTGGCCCAAGTGACTCGAAGGGAGACAGCAAGGTTTGTAGCCTCAGGGAAGTAGAAGAAGCCAAGGCAGTACTTGGGCTTGTTCCGATATGGACAACGTGCTTAATATATGCTATTGTGTTTCCACAGCCCACAACTTTGTTTACGAGGCAAGCCATAACCATGAATAGATTAGTTTCAGCCGATCTCGGATTTCCTGCAGCTTCAGTTCAATTATTTATTTCTGCCACGGTTGTTGTTTTAGTTGCAATCTACGATCGTGCCTTTGTCCCTGTAGCCAGGTGTCCTGGGGCTAATTTTTTGCTGTTGAAAACAGACCTCCCGCAGCAGTCTAGTCTCGCTAGACTTAGCATTTTCCTCACCGATTCACTCATGTTTTGCCTACGACTAGTTTGTCCCACAAAGCCCAGAGATCCCCACCCCAAATCAATGTCCCAAGCAAGCAGAATAACACTAATGAATATGAACTAAATGCACAACACAACAAATTACTGGAACAAGTCCCAACCTTTTCATTAACTCAATTAAAGGATTACATAAAGTCCTTCTTGTGTGCTATGTCCATTCCATTCTTACATGCTACACATTTTATAGCATATCTAATTACAAGATAGTGGAAGTTACAAGTATAAACTACCTCTAACTTCCTGCACAGCTGGAGCACCCATTATCCCATGTTCTAGCCACTTTCTTCCCCATATAAAAAACTGCCACAACTGTCGATAACTGCTCCCAAAACTGCCGCAACTGCATTGACATGTTCTCCCACAAGCCAACTGCCCACTGCCAGCACACATGCTGCCAGCGTAACTGCCTCGCATGTCTTGGACCGTTCGCTGTCCAAGTTATCGTCAGCCCCTGCTGCTGATTTTATCGACGCTGCCGATTTCACTAGTGCTGCCGAATTCCCCACTGTCCCATTGCGTCATCCCAACACTGTTTCATCAAGACCTTGGACAATCATCGCCCAAGTCTCAACTCTCGTCAACTCACTACTGTGTTAGCTGTTGCGTGTTGCCGCACACGCATATTGTCGATTTTCGCTACTGTCACGCGGGCTGCCACCCTGTAGGTACTGTCTAGCAACATTTTTCGTCAACCTACACCTTGACGGATTTTAACCCTGTGACAAACCTCCCCCACCAAAAGAAGTCGATGTCCTCGTCGAACCAAGTCTGAAGCACCTCTGCCCCAAGTCTGCACCACTGTTCACAGTTCAAGATTGCCCACACACAACCTCTCGGCTTTGCCTATATTTTCATCCAGAATATCATCCACCGATTTTGCGATGCCAAGCTAACATTCTCTTCATCAGCTCCTGCAAAAATCCAAGCTGTGATCAAGTCTTCCCTTGATTTCAGTTTGTATCCTATATAGGTTAAACTAAACTTCGAGTCTCACCCAAAGCTCACGAGATCAATGTCCTCAATCTCGTTTGGACACCAATAAAGCTGTAACACCCCAATGTCACATTCTGCCATGCTCCTCCAGAATTCGTATGCAACTTCCCCAAGTCACACACAAGTTGTCCTCATTCGTTAGCAAGCCCACATGTTAATTCGTCCACCGCAAGCCTGTTTTCATGAAGTTTAGACGCTTCTTCTAGCACCCAAGGCTTCCTTCCTTTTCCTCACGAACAACACCACATACTAAACCACTTCGAAGCACCATATGAACCCCCATATGAACATACAATCCATCAACCGTTCAATATGCAAAACCTGCAAGAATTCAATGAGACAATACATTCGGTGATCAACAAAATCTTGCGTCGAAGTTCTTTCATCAAGTTCCCAACTGAACCTGTTCAAGCATACAACATATAGCAACCTAGCATCAAAATCCCATCTGATCTGGCTTTCTATAGGCTACTATCATACCCAAGACACTTCATCAGCCTCACAAACTTTCGTTGACGTAACAACACCACACTGTTTCAGCCCCTGTCACATGTTTCGTCCACCGAAAATCAAAACACTGTTTTTCCAACAATGGCCAAGCAATCTGTCTTCGTCACCCTGACTCGTCCATCATCAAGATGCACAGAAATGCCCCTACTGCCTCCCCATCAAAGCAGTGGACCAAACCATCCTCGTCGATGATCTTGGCTCCTCAACCGAACTCACTGTATCGGCTGCCGAATCTGGCATCCTGATCAGCCCATCATCAAGACATCTAGACTCCCAAAACCACACTGTTTCCTAGCTTGTCCATCAGCCAAGACACCCAACATACTGTCTTGCTTCCATTACTCCACTGTCCACTGCCGAAGTGCACAAAACAGATTTTGAATTTGCCCCATCACAGGCAAACTCACTCAGCCCTTGCCTACCTCTTCCAGGCTGGTCCCAACGTGACTGAATCCCCATCTTAGCCACTAAGCACACACATGGGATTTACATATGCCATGTCCTCAGCACCATTTTTCACAACAATAGCATTGAGTTTTCCCTTCTTCGGGTAATCCCTAGCAAAGTGATTACCCTCACATATAAAGCAGCGTAGATTCGGATTCATACCTTTTTCCTTGGCCTTCACATCTGATCTTCCCACACTAGCAGCCTGTCGAGGTTCTCCCCTACTAAATCTCTTCTTCCTTTTCATCTCGCCTATATCCTTAGGCCTCGATGAAACCCCAGAAACTCCAGCAGCCCTCTCGCTGGGCTTTGATCTAAAGTCTGCCAATCCATCGGCAGCAGCAATGGTAGAAGACAAGTCTGAAATTTTCTGCCTCCTTAACTCCAACTGTGCCCCACGGCTGAAGTCCCGACAGAAAGTTGAACATTTTGTCCTCCTCAGACATGTTATCAACATCAAGAATTAAAGAGCTGAATTTCTTAACATAATCCCTTACCGACCCGTCTTGCAGCAGCTTTTTCAAGTCCTCTCTCGCAATGCAGGAGGTATTGTTGGGCAGAAATTGTTCCTTCAATTCTCGTTTCAGACTCTCTCATGTCTCCACCTTTGGCCTACCAGCATTCAAGTCCTCCTTGGTCCTTGTTCGCCACCACAACTTTGCATCGCCCGATAGATACATCACCGCGATGTCTACTTGCCCATCCAAACCAATCTTGGCCATACTAAAGTAGTGCTCCATATCCCATAAAACATTCATGAGATCCTCTGAACTCCTTGCTCCAGCAAAGGTTTTCGGTTTTGGAACTTTTGGCTTGGAAGAGCCAACGCCCCTAGTAGCGTTTGCGACTGCCTTCTTCAAGACAAAAATCTCTTCCTCGACAACATGCCACTTGCGACCTGATTCTGCCGCGAGTTCAACATACTGTGCAACAGCCTTTTCAGTGATTTCCAAAGCCAATTCAAGTCGATACTCGACTGAACGATCTTCATTGTCAGGAACATCTCCCATCAAACCCTCTAGACGGAGTAACCTTTCCCGAACATTCTACATACCGCTAGGCATATGAAGAACAACCACCAATTTCGCAGATTATCCTAACAATGGCTTCGACAAATCAATCCTTCAATCTACCCACAGAACTGTCTCGTTGTCCAGCCAAGAACGCAAACCGCGCTCTGATACCACTTGTCACAGGGTCAATTTTTTGGCTCTCGAAAACAGACCTCGCGCGGCAGTCTAGTCCTGCTAGACTCAGACTTTCCCTCACCGATTCACTCGTGTTTTGCCTACAACTAGTTTGTCCCACAAACCCAAAAGATCCCCACACACTTTCAATGTCCCAAGCAAGCGGAATAACACTAATGAATATGAACTAAATACACAACACAGCAGATTACAGGAACAAGTCCCAACCTTTTCATTAACTCAATTAAAAGATTACACAAAGTCCTTCTTATGTGCTATGCCCATTTCGTTCTTGCATGCTACACATTTTACAGCCTATCTAATTACAAGATAATGAAAGTTACAAGTATAAACTGCCTCTAACTTCCTGCACAGCTGAAGTACCCATTATCCCATGTTCTGGCCACTTTCTTCCCCATATAAGAAACTGTCGCAACTGCCGATAATTGCTCCCAAAATTGCCGCAACTGCATTGGCAAGTTCTCCCACAAGCCAACTGCCCACTGCCAACACACATGCTACCAGCGTAACTGCCTCGCATGCCTTGGACCGTCCACTGTCCAAGTTATTGGTAGCCCCTGCTGCCAATTTTGTCGACGCTGCTGATTTCACCAGTGCTGCCGAATTTCCCATTGTCCCATTGCGTCATCCCAGCACTGTTTCGTCAAGGCTTTGAACAATCCTCGCCCAAGTCTCAACTCTCATTAGCTCACTGTTGTGTTAATTATTATGTGCTGCTGCACACGCATGCTGCTAATTTTCGCTACTGTCACATGGACTGTCACTTCGTAGCTACTGTCCAGTAACACTTTTTGTCAGCCTATACCTTGACGGATTTTAACCCTGTGACACCAGGGCTTTAAGAGGGGAACCTTCTGGCATTACAATGCTACAAAGAATCGGTACGGGGGTGTTCTTTATCTTTTCTTGCAATGGTAGTTGCTGCTGTAGTTGAAATGAAGAGGCTCAAGAAAGCTCAGCAATATGGACTAGTGGATACGCCAGAGGTGACGATTCCTATGAGTGCTTGGTGGTTAATTCCTCAAAATGTCTTGCTCGGTGCTGCTGACGTGTTCACCATGATTGGAATGCAAGAAAGGTCCCAAGTGGATTAAGGAGCGTGGGTCTTGCTCTTTTCCTCAGTGTCATCGGCGTAGGAAACTTTCTAAGCAGCTTTCTTATCTCCATCATTGATAAAGCAACCGGTGGGGAAGGTCATTATAGCTGGTTTGCCAATAACCTGAATCGGGCACATCTTGATTACTTTTACTGGCTACTAGCTGCGTTGAGCGCTGTACAGATGGTTGCTTTCTTGTATTTTGGAAAGTCTTACATTTATAGCAGGGGAGGCGCGACATAAAAGCAGTGATTTCTCTGCCTCACTGCACTGAGTTATGTATAGATATTTTTTATATGAAAATATATTAAAAAACTATTTTTTTATTTTTAATATTAATATATCAAAGAACACTTACATTGTAAAATAATAATTAAAAATAAAAAATATCTTCTGAAAAAAAAAACACATGGTTAATAATATTTTTAGCGTGGCCAACCAACAATTATTAGTCATAAGCATTTATAAAGTATTTGTAAATGATTTATAAAATATTTGTAAATAAAACAGTAATATATTGGATCTCAACCTAAACTTTGTAGATTAATTTGCTAAATTTATGACTTGTATTATAGTCTAAGATTTAAATTTGTAAAAAAAAATTATTTTTAACTTAATAATATTATAAAAAAATTAAATGTTTATAAAAATTAAATATTAACTATATATTAAGATATTTGTTTAAGATTTCAATAACTTTATGGAAAAAAAACTAAAAGATTATGACAATCAATTTAAAATTAAAAAAATTGAAAAAAAAATAAAATGTAGAATTTTTTAGAAAAAGGAAAAGGGATTTGTTTTTGAAAAATTAAGTGGTTGCATTGTTAATATAAACAATAAAGAAAAGAGGGCAACACCATAATGTTTTTCATTTTTTCAGTAGAATACTAGATTATTTATCTATATTATTTTATAAGTCAATCAATTTTTTTTTAAAAAAAATTTAAACGTTATTAATATGTTTTAAAAAAATAATTAAAATCATATAAAGATTGACCCAATTGGATCTAAGCAACTTAGTAAGTCCAAGAACACCTTAGATAATAATAAAAAAAAAAACATAGTTTGACTAAAAAAATTAAAAATAATATTGTTTTAATATTAAAAAAATATTTATTGGATCAACTCAGATTACCAGAAATTAGCTTATAAAATTTATATATGGGTCATAAGACCATGATAATCTCATAAAAAACAAACAAAAAAATATATTAAAACTTAAATTTCATTCAAATTAATTTAAAAATAAAAACACAAAATAATTAGAAAATAATAAAAACATTCTAATTCAATCCGAGCTAAACTATTAAATTTGAATTATAAAATTAGAATAATTTAATAAAAAATTAAAATAAATTATAAAATTAAATTATAACTAATAATTTAAATATAGATTTGGGTATGATTGATTGTTAAAATTGATCGAGAAAGAGTAATTGATCGGACAAAAAACACTTGAAATCCAACTGAAAAGGAAATATGGTAATTGTAAGACTTTTAATAGCATGTAAAAAGCCATTTGGCTTCCAAAGGATGCCAAGGGCAACCGGCCTCAGCATCTAAAGAGATGGGAAGATGAAATTTTAAATTTCTTGCAAAATCTCCATAAATTGCACAAAAACTCTTGATCAAATGGGAAAAGAGGAGGGTTGGAAGATTCAGGGAGGTTATTTGCACAGGATTGAGGGAGTTAAAGCTTGGGAGGAGGAGGAGGAGAATTGGAAGATTTTGAGAAGGAAAGTAGGGGGAGAAAGTAAGGAAATCTTTCTCATTTTTCTTCTTCAATTCTTCATGTTACAAGGTAATAGTTCTTGATTTGGAGCAATTAATGAAAATTATGCAAGTTTAATAATTGAACATAAGTTTTTAGGTGGAGAAAATTAAGGATTCGAGGAATTACCTGTTTAAATTGCTGAAATGATGTTATAGTCATGTTGGTGAGTATAATTACGGGCTGGGATATTTCTTTAAATTATAAAAAAAATAAAATTAAAACAATAAGGATTAAATCTTGCACAACAATTAATGAAAGAAATTAATTGTAAATTAAATTGAAGAAAAATGAAGAAAAAAAATAAGTACCAAAATTAGAAACAAAATAAAAAAAATTCTAAAGAATAAGATAAAAAAAATTCTAAAGAACAAAATAAAAAAAAATATTAAGGATAAAAAAATTATAATTAAAAAAATAAAAACATGATTAGATATAAAAATTAAAAATTAAGATATAAAATTTTTAAAAAAAATCAAGAAGTATTAAAATCAAAATAACAAAAATTAAATTTAAAATAAATACAATTTGAAGAACACAATTGATTTTTTTAAAGTTCGGCACCAATACTAGGCCCATAGAAAAAGGAAAAAAAATTATTGTCGACTAAACTGCTGTCAACCTGACCAAATATATCACTTCAATACTTTTTTTTTTTTTTATATTAACATGGGTGTCCGGGTCAGTTTGCGCACAACACGACTAATCCCACGGGCCCTGAAGTTAACGACCATATAAGCCTCCAGTGGCCATCATATAAGCAACTAAGGACTCGAACCTGAGATCACAGAGGGAATAAATCCCTTAGTCCCAAGTATTTACCACTTGACCACTACCTAGATGGTTAATATCACTTCAATACTTATTAGATAAGATGATGATGAACAATTTTAGACCACCACATACTCCTCACATGCCTACTAAATGATGTGCAGATGATGATGTGGGAATAGCATGCATTATTCTTCTATTTATTAATGTTTTAATAATTCAAATTACTAAATAGGCTTAAGGGTGTATGAATATTATAAAAAAATATGCTGCAAAGATTATAGAAAAAAAAAAAGAGCTTTCTCAAGCTATCCTTAGATTTTTTAATGGAGATTTTGAATGCTTGAATTTACCTGGTGTATGCATTTGAGTGTTCTAATTTTTCAATTAAGCTAAAATAAGTATCTAATTCTTTTATTTTGTATAATAAAGTGTTTAAGTGGATTTTTGTTAATCAAATTCTACGGCAACACTTAATTAATGATATTTACATTGACACTTGAGAAAATATTTAGGGCCAATATTATCAACCAATGGGACGCTATCTCATAAAGTCCACCAAATTCTAGCTGAAAAATAGAAATAATTATTATTTAATTAAAAATATATATTAAATCGATATTTATTGTTCCGTTACCTAACTTAACTTTTCACCTTCTATGCTAAACGCATGTACTCTCATATAATCTAACCTTCGTCTAATAAAAAGCTGTCAATCTCTTTCCCAAATAAAAACCCATAATTTAAAAAGAAAAAAAAAATAGAAAATGAGCATGGAAGACATCTTCCTCGTATCTGATGATACGTGTGAGACATGTTTGTTTTCTCTTTTTGGGGTCTCTTTTAGATGGAGGAGGAAATAATTTTACATTCTGGAAGGAAGACACTTTTCTCATTATCTTTCATCCGATTTGGTGTCTAATGGGCTTTCCGTCACAAACAAATCAATGCTAGAAAATCAGAAATTCTGTTAGTAGTTTTTGATGAAAATGGCGAGGAACAAAGGAATTTCTGACATGATAAATTACCGATGAAGATTTCATTGATAATTTTGAAAGAAATTAAAACTCAATAATTCTATCTTCTTCCCATTTCTTGTTTCTATTGATTTCAATTCAAACCCTTATTCCGATCTCTCTCCCACCCACTTTAGATTTTTAACAACCACCCAACCCGCCATCACCATGTACAACGTCCCTCTCTTGGTTCATTTTCATTTTCTATATTGTGCAACCTCCCTCGGTTCATTTTCATTTTCTATATTGTGCAATAATCTCAATATCTCATTTTTGTTTTCATTTTTTATGATATTTGTTTTTTAGTAATTTGTGCAGGCTTTGTCGAATCAAGAAATTGCTGATTATATACAAATTTCAAGCTTGTGATTGTTGGTGATGGTGGTACAACTTGTAATTTGAAGTTTCTTGATTTGGGTTTATTTTTGGTGTTTTTGGGATTTGGGTTTGGTTTTTCAGCTTCTGGATTTCCTTATGTTTAAAGGGGATTTTGATTTTTGCTATTTTTTATTAAACAATATGGGTATTTAAGAAAGAAAAACAATGTTTATTTTATGAAAAGCATCTAACTAGCCTTCTGTTAATATAATGCTGAAAGGGTGTTTGCTTGTAGAATGGAGTGATGCAGACTCACGATGAAGAGACGTGAAAGTTTTTCATGTATTCTTTGGTGAATTGTATCAGTTGCTGCGTTATGCAAGCAATAAGCTTAGCCTTCTCAAGCAGCAAACATGCTTACTGTTCCACTTACTGTTCTATAATCTTGTTCATCGATGACTAATTATTAAAGCTGTGGTTGTTTTGATTCCTGGAACTAATTTTCAAGCAGCAGGCACGCTGATGATCATCTTCTTGAAATTTTGATGCTGTGGTAGGAGCTATATCTTGCTCCTTTGGCTCTGTTGTTTTCTTACAAGTATGTCAATAGGGACAGTTGAACAGAAACATTATTGTTGATTTTCCAGTTTTTGTTTATCATTCTTTTGTACCAAATATTGAACAGAAAGAGATTATTTAAGTGTAAAATCTCTGTGCTTTTGTTTATATATAGTTTACGAGATTGGTTGTAACTTGCTAACATGTGGGATTTGGAGAGAAAAGAGACTGTTTACCATCGAACAATTTAAAATTCTGTACGGACAACCATTAGCTTTATTTGTTTAGTTTTCTTCTTTTTTTTTAATTTGAGAAAATCTCATTTCTTAAAAAATATATTTTATAAATCTAGATTAGTGAGTAAAATTCTGACTGTCTAGGTTTTTATTTTATAATAAGATTTTTTGTTGCTGTAAATATTGTTGTGACCATATTAAAATTTGCAAAAATAAATTCCTCTGCCATTTTATAATTTGACTAAAAGAAGGGGAAAATAGCGATGAGCTTGTAGCTCAATTCGTCACTCATGTCTGCCCTCCCTCGAGAGGTCTCAGGATTGCAAATCTTATAGAGTTCAGTACAGTAATTAATTTTATACTATGGTGAATAATCTGCTTTCAGCTGCATGAACATGTAGTTACAAATAAATTACACATCTGTAAACTGAAAACATGTCATGATGATTTGTTGTTCGTGATCACATGTGAGCCCAATGGACTGATAAGGACCGATGTTACCTCTTGCTAAACACATTAGGTTTAGCAAGTTGCATGACCCCGACATTTCACCTGCACCACATGACATTTAACTAACAAGATGGAAAATATTAATTGCAAGCATAAGGTAGCACAGCTCACTGTGATAATTACCAGAATGTA